GGGCCCCTGTGTTGGGCGCTGAAGGGCGGCTGTGTCTTGTCACAATCCAGAGACCCCAAGGGGCGTTAATGACAGGATGGAGGGGACGGTACAAGCCAGGACCAGAAGTGGATTGCAGCTCTGTGCCTTCCTGCCTGAAGTGGCTGAGGGCTGAACACCAGGAATAAAGGGACCCGAGGGGAGGGGGGCACCAGTGGCACCTCGGTATGGAATTCCTCTGAGGTGGGCCGCTTTGGAGGGGGGTGGGTGTGGGGTGGATGTGTGGGGAGGGGGGTTGTGGCTTGTCACACACAGAATGTTCATGTTTTTTCCTGTCCCCGCAATAACAGGCCAGTGTGACCTTTGAGGACGTTGCCGTGCACTTCTCCTGGGAGGAATGGAGGCTGCTTGATGAGGCTCAGAGACGCCTGTACCTCTGTGTGATGCTGGAGAACTTTTCACTTCTGGGTAAGACCCTCAGCCTCACCAGTAACTTGGACTAGACTCTGCTCCATCCACCCCAAGACCTTTCTCGGTGCTCAGGTATGGACCACAGGCGCTGCTTGCTGCCCGGGATTTCCAGGTAGTTGCTGTATTGCTAGGATTGGTTTGTTTGCACTGCCCTCTTCTGTCCCTGCAGTCTCAGTCCTGAACGCTTCTGGAAAGGATTCACGGTCAGTCCTGTTGCATTGCGTTTAGTGGATTCACCGTGCTTGCCCTCTCAGTGTCTGGGTTAATGTGTCCAGATCCACGTTGGGTCTGCATCCCAGGGTTTGATCCTTTGTTTTAGCTGTCATTGCTTCCTGCCTCCCTGGGCCAGGAGATGGAGCTGTTGACATGGTCGTTACTTAATTGAACCACGGGCTTCTTTTTAACACCCTACTTAACACTATGTAGTGTTTAAGTCTGTTTCCCTTTTTTTTAAAGGCTTTTTGAGATATAAATTTGTATATATTAAAGTGTACCATGTATTGATTTTATATGTATATAGTGATATAATTACCACTGTGAAGTTAATGAAATGTCAATCACCATCTGAAGTTACCATATTGTTATTTATTATTATTATTTTTTAATCCTCATCCAAGGAGATTTTTTAAATTGATTTTAATGAAAGGGGAAGGATCCGAGAGAGAGAGAGAGAGAGGCGTTAGTGTAAGAGAATCATTAATCTGTTGCCTCCTGTATTTGCTTCAACCAGGGATCAAATCCACCACCTAGGTATGTGCCCTGACCAGGAATCAATCTTGCAACTTTTTGGTGTATGGTATGATGTCCCAATGAACTGTGCCATCTGGTCAGGTCTACCTCATCTTTTTTAATACTAAGAATGCTTAAGGTCTACTCTTAGTAAATCTCAAGTATATAACATTATCTATAGTCACCATGTTCTTAATTATATCCTCAGAACTCAGAAAGGAATATTTGTAGCTTTGACTGACAGGTTCCCGTTTTCCCCTACACCCCAGATCCTGGCATTTTATTCTTTTTTCTATAATTTTGGGTTTTTTTTTGTTTGTTTTTTCATTTCAACTGTAGTGCACACTCATTTCATTATATCTGCACACGCACCAACACTTACCTCTGCTCTTTTGATGGTAGCCATTTTGTCAAGTGAGAGGTAATATTTTTGTAGTTCTGATTTGCATTTTTCTGTTTATTAGTGAGGAAGAATATTTTTTATATAGTTGTTGGCCAGTTTTAGATTCCTTCTTAGATTTTTTATATAAAAAAATTTCTATTTTTTAGAAGCATTCAGAATGTCAACAAAACAGCTGCAACTTCTTTTTTTTGCAATTACAGAGTTCTGTTCAGTTAACAAAACAATTATTTCATCTAAGCTACATCAGAGACAACTGAAGATGAAAACACTACCATCCCCATATATAACCTATTAGTGCCATGCACCAAGAAGAGCCTGCTTCAAATTTCCATGCCAATTTACAACCTCCATCCTGTATCAGACAAGGATAATAGCTATTAAAAACACCACCATCGGTAGTGTGTTAACTATACGAAATCAGACAGTGTATAGTTTAAAAAGAAATCTTACACAGCTTTACATTTCCCTTTTTTTTTCTTTAAAAGGAATCAGTTGTGTACAGGGATGTTAAATGCTTTATAGATACGAAAATAAACTTCTCTAGATCCAACCTATTCACCGTTATCATCTTCATCTTCTCCTCATCTCCTTTACCTTCCTCGTCTTCCTCTTCTTCCTTATTTTTCCTGCTTTTTTCAGTCTTGGTGGTGAGTTCCTTTTCACCACATCAGGCTTTCCTTTAGCTCAGTATGAAGCAATATTCTTTTTGTATTTTTTCTTCAGCTTGGCCACCTTCTTTTTAATAAGGCGACTTGCCACCTGTAGCAGTATTATTCCGCATCTCTCCCAGCTGCTCTGCAGCATCACCAATGGACAGGCCGGGATGCTCTCCTTTCACATTGGGTGGTGCTCAGAACAAAAAAAGGCGAAGGCTAAAGGAAGCCTCTTCAGGGCATTGGGATCCTTAAATTCCTTCTTTGTTTCCCCTTTAGGAGGGATGTGAGTTCTCATTTCTATCTCATAACGGGCCTTGTCCACCTTTGGCATGTCTTCAGATTTCCCTTTCTCTTTGGTGGACACAGTCTTCCACCTCTCTGAGCACTTCTTAGAAAACTCTGAGAAGCTGACCAAAGCATCCAGGTGCTTCCTCTTGTGGTCCTGGTGAGTTCGCACGAAGAAAGCATGTGTTGACATTTTTCCTCTTAGCTTCTTAGGATCCCTTCGCTCACGTTTAATTACTTTTCCTCAGTGAGCACACCGTCGCCCAAGTGCCTGCACGGCTCTCACTTGCCCCGGCACCCTGTCTGTGGAGCTGACGGTACTGCACTGGCTGTCCATTTCTAGATCTTTGAGAAACGTTTATTCAGGTTCTTTGCCCATTTTATTTTTTTTGGTTATTATTATTATTATTATTATTATTTTGCTACTGAGTTGAATGGGCATCTTATATATTATAGATAATTACCTCTATAAGACAGTCTCTACAAATATTTTCTCTCTTTCCATTTTAGTGATTGCTTTCTTGGCTATGCGGAAGCTTCTTAGTTTGATGTAGTGTGGCTTATTTATTTTTGCTTTATTGTTGTCTGCTTTTGGTTCATCCAAAAAATCATTGCCAAACCCGGTAACAGGAAGCCTTTTCTTTTTCCAAGGAGTTATACATTTTTATGTGTTACATTTAAGATTTTAATGTGTTTTGAGTTAATTTTTGTGAGTGCTGTAAGGTAGGACTCCAGTGTCTTTTCTTGCAGGTGCATATCTGGTTTTGTCAACACCATTTATCACCGAACCCACCTTTTCCCTATTGTCATCAGTGTGGTTGTCAAAGGGTAGTTGACCACATATGTGGGTTTATTTCTGTGTTGTCTATTCTCTTTCTTAGGTCTGTGTGTCTATGTGTCTATTCGTGTCTGTTCTGAATACTGCTGTTTTATAATATAGTTTAAATCAAGAAGTGTGATGCCCCTAACTCAACCATTGATCTTCTTGCTCAAAAGTGCTTTGAGTATAAGAGATCATTTGTGGTTTGAATTTTAGGATTCTTTTTCTATTTCTGTAAAAATGCCATTGGATTTTGGGAAAGATTGCATTGAATCTTTAGGTTGCTTCAATTAGAGCAGATATTTTAAGAATAATAATTCTCGCAATCCAAGAACACAGGATATCTTTTTATTAATTTATGTCTTCAGTTTCTTTCATCACTGTCTTATGGTTTTTAGACTCCAAATCATTAGTCCTTGATGAACTATATTCCTAAATGTTTTATTTGTTTTAATGCTGTTGTAAATGTGATTAGTTTCTTAATTTCTTACTGAGATATTTTGTTGTTAGTGTATACATCAGCTGATTTTTGTATGTGGTTTAGGTTCTACAGATTTACTGGACTTGCTTATTCATTCTGGCACATTTGTGCGCACACGCATGCGTGCGTGTGTTTGTGTGTGTGTGTGTGTGTGTGTAGGTTTTAGGATTTCATTTATATAAGATCATATCATCTGTTAACACAAGAAGTTTTACCGCATTTAAATTTTGATATCTTCATTTCTTTTTCCTACCTTCTTCTTTGAGCTAGAACATCCAATACTATTTTGAAAAGCCATGGTGAGGGTGTACGTCGTTCTCTTTTTCCTGATCTTAGAGAAAAAGTGTTTAGTTTGTCACTGCTGAATATGCTGGTGGTTTTGGCTTATCATGTATGGTCCTTTTGATATTGAAGTACATACCTTCTACACCTAATTGTATTTATCTATTGATTTTTTTAGAGAAAGAGAGTAAGAGAGAGAGACAGAGAAACATAGATATATTGTTCCACTTAATTATGCATTCATTGGTTGCTTCTTGCACGTGCCTGACTAATCATAAAACCTGCAACCTTGGTGTATCTCTCTGATGATCTAAAAAGCTGCGTGGCTCGGCAAAAGTCTTATTACTTTTTTATTTGTGTAGTTATATTTTTTTCCCCTCCTCTGTGTTGCAGTTGTATTTTTTAAAGTTATTATTTATTTATTTTTAGAGAAGGGGGAAGGGAAGGAGAGAAACATTGGTGTATGAGAGATATATCGACTGATTGCCTCTCGCACGCCACCAAGTGAGGACCTGTCCTGCAACCCAGGCATGTGCCTTGACTGGGAATCGAGCTGAAGACCTTTCAGTTTAAAGGTCAGTTCTCAATGTACTGACCCACACCAGCCAGGGCTGCAGTTCTATCTTAATTGTACTATTGAGCCCTCCAAGGATCAATTTTTCTTGTAGATCATTGTCTTAATATTTTGTGGTTGGTAATGAAGTCTAGTTTTTTTCACTATCATGCTGATGTGACACACTTAAATTTATTTTCTGGGTTCATTGTGTGCCATGTTGTTCTGACACATTCTTGGCCATTCAGTCTTTTGGGTTTTTCCTTGTGTCACTTATGTTCTGTGTAGCTGCTCTGCTAGGATTTTTGGGGAAGCGTCACAGGATGGATAGTTCTTCAGCCATGGCAAGCGGGCGCACAGGGGGTGTGGTCCTGGTGAGTGACAGTTGTGGAGATGTGAAGTCAGGACCTTGTTCAGCTCATACCATGAACTTGTCTTTGTTCAGCCAGAGTTTTCATTTCATTGCCAGTAGCCACATCATTTCTATACCTTCTTTTCCTGCTTTGACATTTTGCCAACCTCTCAGTTCTACTACTGGTCATTTCCACTGTGATTTCCAGCCTGGGGATGTTTTCACCTCTGTTGATCCCACATTTCACCTGCTCTCTTACCCCCCTTCCTGTAGTACTCTTGAACATTGGCGCTCATGTGTTGTACTCTGAGACGTTCACAAATCTATATATTGACCTTGTACAGCAGCGAATATCTTGCTATTGGATGGAAACAGGCTTGCACATGGGCTTCTACCCAGCCTTGCATCAGCAGCAGAGAAGGATATGCAGGAAGCTGTTGGCAGAGGAAGTGCATTGTAAGCATTGTAAGCCATTCCCTGTCTGTGTGCCCTTCCCCTGGCTGGGTTTCCATTATGGTGTTACTTGGAAGCCCAGTAACACACAACAGTCAGCGAGTCTTCAACTGAACTTTCTCATTTTGAAGACCATTTCATATATTCTTGCTTACATGGGACACCTAAGTATATGTGATGAGGTTCTCTGCTCCCTGTAGTTGAAGTCGTTCATCCCCATTATTTTTGTTCAGGTTGCTGCTGTGGAGAAGAGGATGAACAAGTGTCACAGGCAAGGAATGCCAAGGCAGCTTCATCTTCCCAGAAGAGCCACCCCTGTGAGAGTTGTGGGACGGTCGTGAGAGACATTTTTATCTTGCTTGAGCAACATGGAACACAGCACAGACCAAACATGCTGTGGTGTGGGGCATGTGCAAAACGATCTCATTTCAGTGCAAAGTGTCACCAGTACCAAGAGCAGCACATGGGACAGAAACCCTTCAGAAGTCGTGTGGACAGGACTTCATTTGTGAAGAGCTGCGGAATCCACGTGTCAGGGAAGCCCTTTACCTGTGGTGAGGTTGAAACGGACTTCCTGGCCAGCTCAGAACAGCTGCGGCAACAGGACACCCATAATGTGAAGGAGCCAAACACAGGCACCCAGTGCGAAGCAACGTTACGAAGCAGAAAAAGTCATTACACTTCTGGGGAAGTCAAGAAACCCTTTAACCCCCAACAGTTACTTGCTGAGGACCAGGCTGTCTGTACTGGAAGACAGTGTTTTATATGCAGTGAATGTGGAAAAACATTCAGGTACAAATCGTCATTTGTCACGCACTGCAGAGGCCACACTGGCAACAGTTTCCATGTGTGTGGTGAAAGTCGAAAATCCTTTAGTGAAATCTCAGCCTTCTGACAGCATCAAAAAACTCATCCTGGAGCAAGGCAGTACAAATGCAACAAATGTGGAAAATCCTTAAAGCTCAAATCTGTTTTCATTCATTCACTGGAACAGGAAAATGCAGAAAAGAATTACATGTGCAGTGAATGTACCCAATTATTTAGTTATAGCTCAGTGTCTAATCAATCCCAGAGAGTTCACAATGGAGAAAAACCTTATAAGTGTAACGACTGTGCAAAATCTTTTGCCTCTGTTACTGCTCTCAGTTATCATCAGAGCTCTCACACAGGAGAAAGGCTTTATGGGTGTAGTGAATGTGGGAAATCTTTTACCAGGATTTATAACTTTTGTTGCCATCAAAGACTTCACTCTGGAGAAAGGCCTCATGAGTGCAATGAATGCGGGAAATCCTTTACCCATCTGCACACCCTTTATTATCATCAGAGAGTTCATAGAGGAACAGAGACTTACAGATGTAGTCAGTGTGGAAAATCTTTTGCCTATCGTTCTAACCTCCGTTGTCATGAGAGAGTTCACACAGGAGAAAAGTCTTATGAATGCAGTGAATGTGGGAAATCTTTTGCGAGTAGCTCCAGCCTCCGTTTTCATCAGCGAGGTCACACAGGAGAAAGGCCCTATGAGTGCAGTGAATGTGGAAAGTCATTTAGGGGTAGTTCCCAGTTAAGTCTACACTGGAGAGTTCACACTGGAGAAAGGCCTTATGAGTGCAGTGAATGTGGGAAATCTTTTATTACTAAGTCTAAACTTTATTATCACCAGAGAGTTCACACTAGAGAAAAACCTTAATGTGCGGGGAATGTGCAATTTTCTGTTCTGTGTAACAACCCTTGAAATTTTTGAGCAGTTATCTGAATTCAAACTCTTACATATGGATATGCACAGTGGGGAGATATCCCATAAGTTTCACTTATATGGGAAGTGTGTGTAAATATGTTGGACACTCTGACTTGCCCATGGTTACCCCTAGGTTTATGTTGCAGCTACATTCCATGGCTATAGTCCTTTCACCTCTGCCACACGGTAGGTCCACAGAGTTTTCATCATTTAACACCCTAATGTGCTCAAGGAAACTGACCTCTGGTCTCATGAATGTTGTAGCAAAATAGAAATGACTGGACCCTCGGGAGTGGGGGTGTGAACTTTTTCTCATATGACTAATTTGGACATGGAAGTGAGTCCATGTGTTTGTTCACCCAGAGAATATCGTGAGTTCTGCTTGCATAGAAGTGACTACTGTTTAAGGGACGTGTTCATCTCATGTGACACTTGTGATGAGTTTTTTCAGTTTCCAGTTCATGAACTTGGGAAGTGCCTGCTGCACATTGCTCTGGCTTGTACAATAATCGAGGACTTACTGTTTTAAGTTTCTTTAAGTTTGCTTGTTTTTTTTTTCACTCTACAAGGTAGTTCATAGACTGATTTGGGCTCTATAAGCATGAAAAGGAAAACAACTTTTTAGGGGTCTTTTTTTTTTTAAGATTTTATTTATTTAGTTTTAGGGAAAGAGGGAGAGAAACATCTGTGTGTGGTTGCTTCTTGCACGCCCCCTGCTGGGGACCTGGCCGGCAACCCAGGCATGTGCCCTGACTGGGAATTCAACCAGCGACCCTTTGGTTCACAGGACAGCACTCAATCCACTGAGCCATGCCAGCCAGGGCCTTTTTGGAGGTCTTAATCTTTCTCTGCTTATGGAGGGACTTGATGATGGCAGAAAATAACTGGCCACTTTTGACCAAATTTGCATAGCTGCCCACAGCCTCCTAGAAAGGACTGAAGGGCTTTCTGGTCCTGATTTGGATGCTGTGAGTTTAGGAATCTTTGAGATGACTCTGAGGAGAAGACAGGTTGAGAACCTCAGACACTTGTAAGAATAGCCTGATTATCAGCATTGTTGAGGGTCTATCTTCTGCAGGTCTACAGAAAGTCATGTGCCCTGACAGCCACAATTCATTGCACTAGGGTCACTGAAAGGTTAAAAAAAAAAACAAAAAACAAGCCCCTTGCAGGCTCTGTCTATCAGTACTAGCTCTCTCTCTTCCCTTGAGCCAGCCAGGCATAATTAACTGTTGTTTCTCTGAGCCTCTGTTCTCAGGGCTGAAGAGATTACTGAAAAGCGTCCCCTGTGCAACTGTTTTAAAACTTGTGCAAACAAAACATAGTAGACTGGAGCACCCGAACCCTGAACCCAAAGATAACAGCACCTTTTGTAGATGGGTCCATCCAAAAGCCCTTCCCACAGTACCAGGCCTGTGGGTCTGGCTGCCCACTGAATCATTGCACTCATGTTTTCTCTCAACATAAGTAACCCTCAAACCTGTGGAGAATTTCAATGAGTTTATGTGAGGCAACCATTGTCTTGACAACCATTGTGTTGAAGCAAAACCTCAACGGATTGAGAAACTGCTCCAGAGAATGGCAGTTATGCACCTTATTTTATATGTTACAATCAAAGGAAGACATGGAAGTGAGTTACATAAATCCATTGGTGATAGATGAGGGAGGCAGGAGAAAGCAAAGGGGGGAAAACCTGAGAGTGCACAAAAAGTAAAATGATAGACACATACTTCCTTCACAAAGGTGGGTACAAGAATAGTTAACAGTCAGCATTTAACATGGTAACAATGACAGTGAAGACATCTGTGATCTCTGCTCTGATTGAGGGGTCTGGAGAACCCTTTGTTTTTGCAAAGGCATGTTTATAAGGTAGTGTATCCTAGGTGAAAAAAAGAAGAAAAAAACAGGCTTAATTTAGTTGAGGATTGACCTTTGTTAGGAAAGATTTTGGGCTAGGACATGACTACTTACCATCAACTGATTTATTTATTTATTTATTTATTTATTTATTTATTTAAAAAGTTTTAATGTATTTTTTATTTTTTAGAGAGAGGAGAAGGAAGGGAAAAAAAGAGAAAAACATCCATGTGCGAGACCTGGCCCACAACCCAGGCATGTGCCTTGACCAGGAATCAACTGGTGGCCTCTGGTTTGCAGTCCAGTGCTCCACCCACTGAGCCACACCAGCCAAGGATGCCATAAACTGATTTTAGTTAAAAAGTTTTAATTTCAGACTATCCTACGAGATTACTCTAGGTTTCAGAGTTTGTTAGGCCATCACCCAGGCCTCCCCTGAGCTTGTCAGGATTTAGTATGTGGTCTCTTTTCATCCACAGTTCTCTGAAATATCTCATACCATGAACATGGCCAAAAAGACAACTGCTGAAAACCCCAGTGAAACATACTCCCACTGTTGGCCACCCATCTCATTGACAGAGCTTCCATCCTTCCAGCTGCTAACACCAGAAATCTTGGAGTCATCCCTGACTCCTACCTTTCTCTTGCTCACTATTACAATTAGAAAACTTACGCTACTCTATTTGAAAAACTGATATAAAATTCATTTACCTTTCTGACCTCCACCACAATGGGACACACCATCAACATGTACCTCTATGCCTTATGGATGGAACCAACCAGTGCATTTATACTGGGTTCTGGGGGTGGGATTCCCACGAGGCCAATTGCTGGGGACAGGACTCTTGTCCACTGCTGCTGTGGAGAAAGGACCACTGTCCCATGGAGCCTGATAGGAAGAGTTTTAAGTAAAAAAAAAAAAAGATTGTTCATGAGCCATATAATCTCATCAACTTTGCTTTTCTTGATTTTGAATCTTCTTTAGAGAATACCTCAACCCTTTTTAAATTTTAATTTTCCCTTGTGGGGAAGAAAATGTGTATCTTATGCCTGTTCCACAATTGTCTTTGGAAGCATGCAACTTTTGGTTTCACAGGTTTATAACTGGAAAGATATTTTGCCTCAGGATGAATTGGACCTCGAGTCTCACTCATACCTGACAGAGATGATATTTAACTGAAACTTAAGATTTCTTTATATCACATTGTAACTTACTGTATAGTCACACACGTTTTTGTTTAGTTTCCTGTCTTTGTCCCTTGAAGAATTTAAGCTGCTTGAGCTTGGAGATCTTTCTCATGTTCCCAGTAACTACAGCACTGGCTGATGCTGAGTATTTTCTCAGTGAACATTTATTAGAACCATGAATAAACATGACACCACAAGTTCTTGTACATTTTTACTACTTGGGCTACTCTAAATGTGATCTTCAATTCTTTCTCCATGCTGGTATTTACTTCTTTAAAAGAAAAAAGATTTTATTTACTTATTTTTAGAGAGAGAGGAAGGTATAGAGAAAGAGAGGGAGAGAAACATCAATGTGTGAGAGATACATCAACTGGTTGCCTCTCACAGGCTGTCAATTGGGGCCCTGGCTCGCAGCTCAGGCATGTGCCCTGACTGGGAATCAAAGCAGTGACATTTGGGTTCACAGGCCAGTGCTCAATCCACTGAGCCACAGTAGCCAGGGCCATGCTTGTACTTCTTAATGTTTTTGAGAATAAAAGCCCTTCTAAAACTTGTTAATGTTCTTCAACTTCCTCTTGTATTTCCCTGGAGCTATTTATGCCACTGTTTTTAAATAACTACATAAACATGTTAATACATTTCTGAAACTTGCATTTAAAACTCCTGATATAACCTCAATTCTCCATTAAGAACTATACCTGAGATGAGTAGAAAATGATAACCACTTACTAGCAAAGATAGGAGATCATAGGCTTAAGATGCCCCCTTCATCTCAGAGCTCAGATATGCCCTTCGCACATGTCCTGTGACTGTGACAGTTGCATCCACTGAGCCATACCAAAATAGCATGATTTTAGCCGCTCTCCTTTTGAGATAGATGTCTGTTCCTTGAACAAACTTGAGTACAGTCAACCTATCATGTCCATGGGTTTCACATCCTTGGATTAACTGATTAACTAACCTTGGATGAAAAATATCTCTTAAAAATGTGTTCTATGTGGTATGCCTATGATGGTTGTGTGGTTGTGTGTGTACTGAACATAAATGTACTTTTTTCTAGTCATTATTTTTGAAAGATTTTATTTATTTTTAGAGAAGGAAAAGGAAGGAGAAAGAGAGAAAAACATCAATGCGTGGTTGCCTTTCGTGCACCAACCATGTGTCCTGACTGGGAATCAAACCAGTGACCCTTTGCTTTGAAGGCTGGGGCTCAATCCAGTGAGCCACACCCGTCAAGGACACAACGTTTTTGATAAACTTGATGAGCAGCTCTGCTGCTGTCAGCAAGCCTGGTCCCAGAGGCTTCTTCCTTCCTATTGTATCTCCTGCCTTACAGCTATGCCTGGACTATTTATATGTGTGAATGACTCATAAAAGGATATACAGAATGTCTCTCTATATAGATATGCCAGTTGAGATCAGCAGATTTGAGAGGATCTCAAATATTTTTTAATTTATTTTTTTATTGGTTGTGCTATTACAGTTGTCCCAATTTTCACCTTCTGGGAGCAAGTGAGCCTCACGAATCATTAAATTATGTCTTTGGCTGCAGTAAACAATGAGCAAAGCCTCTATCTGTAGGTAAGAATACTTTTACGTGATTCCTAGCATAACAAACATTTTAGTGGAGCGGGATGAAGAACGCCTTCCTTGCTGCCTCTAGATCCCCGGGAACTACATTACCCAGAAGCCATGGCGCTGAGCTGATCCAATGAAAGAGTAGGAAACAGTATTTCCGTGAGATTTCAGTATTTGGGAGGGACTTCCGGAGGTATTTTCTTTTTTTTTTTTTTTTTACCTCGCGGGGATCTTCCGACAGATTTCTCAGGACCTCGGAGGCGGAAAGCTGTCGTGGTCCTGTCAAAAGCTTGCGGGAGGCTCCGCGACGCTCCACCTCTTAAGGTGCCCTGCGTCTGGGACGGAGCGAACCGAACCCCCGGCGCCCTGTCCGCCCCCGCCGGGCTCCGCACACGGAGCCGGATGGCGGCGCCGGCCGCGCTGAGGCGCCCGGCTGAGGTGAGCGCGCGTCCCTCGAGCCCCCGAGCCCCGCAGCCCCGGGGGCCGGGCGCCCGTCACGTCCTGCAGCCCCGGCCCCCGCGTCCGGGCCGGGAGGGAGGCTGAGCGGAGGCGCGAGGGTCGTGGCTTCGGAGGGGCAGCGAGTACAGGGCAGAGCGGCCCGGGCTCCCGCGCCTCTGAAACGTGCGTGGCGCCCTGGGTGCCCGATAATGGAGTGAAGGTGCGGGCGGGCCGGCGGGACTGCAGAGCCCCGCCGGGGGCTCCCCCGCGGCGGGAGCCGTCCGAGGGCGGCGTGGAGCCGGACGGCGTTGGAGGTCCGCGCGCTCTCGCCGGGGGCCGGGGGCCGCGCGCCCGGGTGAGCGGGGAGAGACGCCTGTGAAGCCGGGCAGGGCGGCCGCAGAGCCGTGGGGGTGGGACTGTGGGGCCCGCCGGTGTTCGGGGGAAGCGGGCGCACGGCGGCGCGCGCACGGGTAGGTGGTGGGGCCGAGGGCCCCGAGGCCGTGGGGCGGGACCCGGTGAAGCGGGAGCGCCCCTTTGCCGAGTGTCGCAGGTGGAGCCTGGGCGCCCCCGGGGGACTTGCTGGGCAGGAGGGACGGGGCCCTGCAGGGACGTCCCCGGGCTTGGATGAGGTCTGCGCGTCCCGCTGCCCGGTGCCGAGGGCTGCTGCTCACCGTCCTCACGGGCCCGAGGGGTGAGGAGACCCCGCTGGGAGCAGGGCGTGGTGTCCCCTCTGATCGGGGAGCCCTGGGGGAGGGTGAGCAGGGGGAAGACGTGTGAGGTGACGGACTGGGAGGTTGTCAGGAAGACCGAGTCTGTGGTTTCCTCTGTCCGCATCTTGACAGGCCAGCGTGACCTTTGAGGACGTCGCCGTGCACTTTTCCTGGGAGGAATGGAGGCTCCTTGATGGGGCTCAGAGACGCCTGTACCTCGACGTGATGCTGGAGAACTTCGCTCTGACTTCCTCTCTAGGTAGGACTTCGATAGTGTCATCAGCGATGTGGACTGGGCTCTGTCCCTGTGGACCGCAGGCCCTGCTTCCTTCTGCTGTGTTTCTAGGGCGGGTGGTTGCCCTGCCCTCTTCTCTGGGCTGCAGCCCCGATACCTGCTGCACTGCCCTCTTCTCATAGGGATGGATTGCAGTGAGTCTAGTGCATTCCACCATGATGGCCCCTTCCTAGGCAGGTCACTGTGTCCAGATCCGTGATGCTTGTTTTGGTCCCTTCCTTTAGCTGGTATTTCCTAGGGCCTCTCTCTGTGCCACAAATTTGAGGCATTGTCATCATCACCATTTACCTGGACCATGGGCCTCTTTTCAAGACCCTTGTTCACAGTTTTTAGAGTTTTCTGTAGATCTATTTTCGTTTGTTTTTTTTCTTCCCAGCATTGCTGATATATAAAATGATGTATATTTGAAGTGTAAAATGTGATAATTTGATGTATGTAAATGTTGTGAATTAATTGCCAAATTAAATTAATAAACATTTTCCTTACCTGGTATTATCACGTTTTGTTTTGTTTTGTTTTTTTGGTAATAGCGCTTAAAATATACTTTCCTAGTAAATTGTATGTGTAAAATACAGTATTATTAACTGGAGTCACAAGGTTTTACATTAGATCCTCAGAAATTATTAATCTTATAAGTGAAGTTTTGTATGTTTTGACTAATAACTACCCATTTCCCCCTCTTCATGACCATGTCATTCTACTGTTCTGTGAGTTCAACTTTTTTTTTTTTAAGATTTTATTTATTTTTTATTTTAGAAAGAGGGGGAGAGAGAGGGAGAAAAACATCGATGTGAGAGATGAACACTGATCAGTTGCCTCTCACAAGCCTCAAACTGGCGACCTGGCCCACAACCCAGGCGTATGCCCTGCCTGGGAATCAAACTGGGAACATTTCAGTTTGCAGCCTGGCACTCAGTTCACTGACCCACTCTAGCCAGAGCAAGTTCAACTTCTTTTTGTTTACACTCCACTTCTAATTGATATCATGAAGTATTTACATTCTGTGACTGGCTTATTTAATTTAGCATAATGGTGTCCAGGTTCATTCAAATGGTCACGTACAGTAGGATTCCTTTCCTTTTTAAAATTTTTCTTATTTTGTTAAGTTCTTTTTATTTATTTATTTATTTAAATTTCGGGGGAATTTACTTATAAGGCTAAATATGGGAAAGGTGTGTGTGTGAAGAAACATTTTAGTTTGATGTAATTCTACTCAGTTATTTTAGATATTTTTTCCTTTGTTATTTTTGGTGTCATATCCAAAAAAAAAAAAATCTCATCAGAACACTCAAGTTTTTCCTGAACAACTCTTGTTAGTATTTCTGATAAGGCAGGCTGAGATGTAATGAAATTTCTCAGCTGTTTTTAACATAGGAAAGTGTTTATTTCTTCTACATTTTGGAAGAACAGTTTGCCAGAAGAAGTATTCTTAGTTGGCATTTTTCTCACCAGTATTTTAAATTTATCAGACATCTCTCCAGGTGTGCATAGTTTTTGCTGATAAATTCACTTATACCTAATTGGAGTTCTCTGTATGCAGTGAGTTTCTTTTTTATTTCTGCTTTCAAAATTCTGTTTTTGATTTTTGAAAGTTGCATTATAAAGTGTCTCAGTGAAGTCTCAGTGAAGATCTCTTTGTTTTCAATGTGTATGTGGACCTGTGAGCATTATAAACTGGGATATCAACATCTGTCTCCTGATTTGGGAAGTTGTCAGTCATTACTTCTTTATTTATTTATTTTTCTTTTCTTTTGAGAGAAAGGGGGAAGGGAAGGAAAAAGAATGGGAGAGAAATGGTGATGGGAGAGAAAAACATTTGTTTGTTCCATCTCTCACATGCCCTGACCAAGAACAGAACCAGCAACGTGGGCATGTGTCTGCATATGGTATCCAACCGGCAGCCTTTCACTTTACAGGATGACACACCCAACCAACTGAGACACACTGGTCAGGGCTCAGCCATTATTTCTTTCAATAAGTTTCCTGACCCTTCCTCCCTCACTTCCCCTTTTGGCACTCCCATTTTGCCAATATTATTTCTCTTGATGATATTCCATAAGTTATGTAGTCTTTTTTTCTCCTGTGGATGATATGCAGTCACCTGGTGCTAGATCACAACACAGATTGTTCTCTTGCTTCACTAACTTGCCATTGAAGTTCTCCGTTGTGTTTTTCATTTCATTCCTTGTATTCTTTGGGTCCTGATTTTTTTTTTTTTAACTCATTTAAAAATAATTTTTTGTCTCTGAACTTGACGTGATCATGTATTGTTTTCTTGATTTTCCTGAGCTGTCTCTCTATGTTCTCTTTGACCTTGGTGAGCTTCTGTAAAACAGTTATTTTGATTTCTTTATCCAGAACTTTGTTGGCTTCACTTGCTGGAAACTTACTCTGCTGTTTTGGTGATACCATGGTTCCATGATTCTTTGTGTTGCTTATAGCCTTTTGTTGATATCTTTTCATTCGGCAGATCTGTCACCCTTCCTGCCTTTAATAGCTTTTTCCTTATTGTAGAAAGGTCTTCCCGTTGGGTTGGTTGCAATGTCATTGGACTGCCAAGGTGTGGCAGTTTTGGCTCTGGGGAGGAACCAGCCATGTAAACACTGAGCAGCTGTGTGAGCTGATGTCAAAAATGACAAATATAGTAGAAATTCTCAATGCCAAGGCTACAAGGTGAACTCTCAGCTATCTAGTCATGTTGAAGCTGTGTATGGTTTAAATCAGGACTGTGTTGTGATCATACCAGAAACATTTTCCATTTAACAAGTGTTTTTCTCATGGCCACTTTGCTGACTATCTATTGTAGTACTTTGTTATTCATACTCTGACTTCTAGCCCATGGAGAATCTCTACCTCTCTGGATGTCATATCTCACACTTTTCTCTCATCTCTCCCTTTATTGCACTTTGACATCAGTCCACACATGCCATGAGATTAGCATGCATCCTTACCTTGGCCTTGAATGGCAGCTAATCTGCTGCAGTTGGTTTTTCCTGGGTTTGGACATGTGCTTCTACACAGCCTCATATCATCAGCTGTAAAGTCTTTATAGGACATTTGGCAGAGGAAAAAGTTTTAGAGCATACTTGTCTTCTTTCAGGTACACCTTATTCTTAGATCCTTTCCCTGGTGAGAATTTCACCATTTTTTTATTTAAGAGGTATAGTAATGCTCAGGAGGCATGTTACCAACAGGATTTTAACTCCCCTGATTAAAAATCATTCCATAGACTCATTCCTAGATGTGACAAATGCACATTTGTGGTAACATTGCTCTATTCCTATAGTCAACATGTATTTCACCATCATTTATTTATGTTCAGGTTGCTGCTGTGGACCAGAGGATGTAGAAGTCCCCTTGGAACAGAGTGTTCCTGTGGGAGTGTCACCAGCCAGCACCTCCAGGGCAGCTCTGTCTTCCCTGAAGACCCACTTCTGTCAGACTTGTGGTCCAGTCTTGAGAGACATATTGCAGTTGGCTGAGCACCAAGGAACACCACACAGCCAAAAAGTGTTCAGGTGTGGAGTGTGTATGAAACAATTTAATTTTAGTGCTAACCTCCAAACACACCAGAAGCAGCACCTGGGAGAGAAACCCTTGAGAAGCAGTGTGGACAAGACCTTGTTTGTGAAGAGCTATAAATTCTGTGTTTCAGAGAAGCCCTTTACCTGCGATGAAGTTGGGAAGGATTTCCTCTCTCCCTCAGAACATCCACGGCAGCAAACCACACAGGCCAGGGAAGAGTGCAACAAAATCACTCAGAGTGGGACAACTGTACAAAAGGGAAAATCTCTATCCAACCCGGTACAATGTAGAAAAGCCTTTAGCTCCAGAAGTTCACATGCTCCAAAACAGGATGTTCACACTGGAAGACAGTGTTTTCTGTGCCGTGAATGTGGGAAAGCATTCAGGTATCAGTCCGCATTAGTTGTTCACCAGAGAGTGCACACTGGTGAAAGACGTCATGTGTGTAGCAAATTTTGCAAGTCTTCTAGTCAAAACTCAACCCTCCGTCAGCATCAAAGAATTCATTGTGGGGCAAAGCAGTACACATGTTGCAAATGTGGGAAGTCCTTTAACCAAAAATTTGTCCTCTTATATCCCAGGAGGACTCATAATGGAAAAAAAAGTGACTTGTGCCATGAATGTGCACAACCTTGTAGCCGTAGAGCCATCCTTATTCAACAACAGGAAGTTCAATCTGGAGAAAGGCGTTATGAGTGCATGCAATGTGGGAAAGCCTTTAGACGAAAATTTGGCCTTATTGTACATATGAGAGTTCACATTGGAGCAAGGCCTTATCAATGTAGTGAATGTGGGAAATGTTTTACCAATAGCTCTGTCTTTCATTATCATAAGAAAGTTCACACTGGAGAAAGGCCTTATCAGTGCAGTGAATGTGGGAAATCTTTTGCATTTGGTTCTAATTTCAGTGCTCATCAGAGAGTTCATACAGGAGAAAGACCTTATGAGTGCAGTGACTGTGGGAAATCTTATTTCCGAAGGCATCACCTTCTTACACATCAGAGAGTTCACACTGGAGAAAGGCCTTATCAGTGTAATGAATGTGGGAAATGTTTTACCACTAGCTCTGGCTTTTATTGCCACAAGAAAGTTCACACTGGAGAGAGGCCTTATCAGTGCCATGAATGTGGGAAATCTTTTGCATTTGGTTTCATCCTCAGTAATCATCAGAGAGTACACACAGGAGAAAGACCTTATCAGTGCAGTGAATGTGGAAAATCCTTTATTCAAAGACATCACCTTCTTCTACACCAGAGAGTCCACACAGGAGAAAAGCCTTATCAGTGTAGTGTATGTGGGAAATGTTTTACCACTAGTTCTGTGTTTCATTATCATAAGAGAGTTCACACTGGAGAAAGGCCTTACCAGTGCAGTGAATGTGGAAGATCTTTTGCATTTGGTTCCAACCTTAGAGCCCATCAGAGAGTACACACAGGAGAAAGGCCTTATGAGTGCAGTGACTGTGGAAAATCCTTTTTCCGAAGGCATCACCTTCTTACACACCAGAGAGTTCACACAGGAGAAAGGCCTTATCAGTGTAATGAATGTGGGAAATCTTTTGTTTCTGGTTTTAGCCTTAGAAATCATCAGAGAGTTCACACAGGAGAAAGGCCTTATGAGTGCAGTGTATGTGGGCTATCTTTTACAACTAAGAGGAAACTTCGTTATCATCAGGAAGTTCACAGTGGAGAAGGGCCTCATGAGTGCCGAGAATGTGGGAAATCTTTTACCTCTCGATATGCCCTCCGTGACCATCAAAGAAATCATACAAGCAAAAGGCCCTATGAATGTACTGAATGTGGGAAGTCCTTTACATCAAATTCTAACCTCATTGCACACTGGAGGGTTCACACTGGGGAAAAGCCTTATCAATGTACTGAATGTGGGAAATCTTTTTCCTCTGGCTCTGGCCTCCGTTATCATCAAAGTGTTCATACTGGGTTAAGTCCTTATGAGTGTAGTGAATGTGGGAAATCTTTTCCCAGAAGCTCAGCTCTCATCCGACATCAAAGAACTCACACAGGTGAAAGGCCTTACGTGTGCAGTGAATGTGGGAAATCTTTTATCCAGAGAAATCACCTTCTTGTACACCAGCGGGTTCACACAAGATAAAGGCCTTATGATTGCAGTGATAGTTCCCAGTCCGATTAACACTGGGCAGTTCATGCTGGATTAAGGTGTGTGAATGCTAAAATGTAGGAAATCCTTTAGGCATAAATTTCGTTTTTCTTAACACCTTAGACTTTATATTTGAAAATGGTTTTGTGAGTGTAGTAAATGTAGGAAATGTTTTACCTGTGTCTCTGGTGTTCATTATTATCTGTGAGTTCACACAGGATGAAGGCCTTTCTGTAGCAAAGGTGAAAAATCTTTCACTCATTCTTAATGGTCTTTTTACCACCATAGAGTTCAGCCAGGTGAAAGGCCTTACAAGTGCATGGAATGTAAGAAATCCTTAGAGTTTACCTTATTATACAGTGCAGAATTTACACTGGAGAAAGACCTTAGATGTGCGAGGGGATGTGCACTTTTCTTGTTCAGTATGATTACACTGGAAGAAACCACGAGAAGCCATCTATCTGAATTCGATCTCATATATCCAGTGGTCCCTAGGTGGGAGCATCTTGATGAGCAGTTTCTTGTATTTGCTTTCTGTACATGTAGTAAAATGTATGTTCATATCTTTTGCCTATTTTATGAATTTTTGTCATTTTACTTTTAACAGGACAGTGAAGCAACATAGATGTATATTGGAATTTTGTTCATTTTTGAATACATGAGTGCCTAATAGATTGTTTTCAATACTAAAAAAAGTTTTTAAAATATTTTATTTTTATAGAGAAACTTCAATGTAGAAGAGAAACATTGATTGGTTGCCTCTCATATGCCCCAAACCTGGGACCTGGCCTGCACCCAGGTTTCTGTCTTGACCGGGAAGTGAACCTGCGACCTTTAGTTTTGCAGGATTATGCCCAGCGCACTGAGCCACACCAGTCAGGACTCTTTCCTTTTTTTTAAATTGAATTTTTCTTTAATCCACAGGTTGTTCAGTAATGAATGGTTTAATGTCCACAGAGTTGTGAACTCTCTACCTTTTTTCCTGTTATTGGTGTCTAGTTTTAAACCTTTGTGTTCATATAAAATTCTTGATTTAATTTCAGTCTTCTTAAATTTATGTGTTTTTAAAACATCTTATGTATATTTTATTGATTATGCTATTACAGTTGTCCCATTTTTTTCTCCCCTTTACTCCCCTCCATCCTACACTGCCCCACCCCCCCTTAGTTTATGTCAGTGGGTTTTACATATAAATTCTTTGGCTTCTCCATTTCCTATACTATTCTTAACCTCCTCCTGCCTATTTTGTACCTACTATTTATGCTGCGTATTCCCTGTACCTTTTCCCCCAGTCTTACCCCTCCCTCTCCCCTCTGTCTTACTATTCATAGTTTTTTATCTTTTTCTTAGAAAAGTCCCTTTAACACATCATATAATAAGGGCTTGGTGATGGTGAACTCCTTTAACCTGACCTTATCAGAGAAGCACTTTATCTGCTCTTCCATTCTAAATGATAGATTTGCTGGGTAGAGTAATCTCGGATATACATCCTTGTCTTTCATGACTTTGAGAACTACTTGCCAACCTCTTCTTGCCTCCATGATTTCTTTTGAGAAATCAGTTGATAGTTACCTACAAAGGAATTCTCATTAGACTGTCTCCTTTTTTCTTGCTGCTTTTAAGATTCCCTCCTTATCTTTAATCTTGGGTAATGTAATTATGATGTGCATTGGTGTGTGCTTCCTTGGGTCCAACTTCTTTGGGACTCTCTGGGCTTCCTGGATCTCCTGGAAGTCTATTTCCTTGACCAGATTGGGGAAATTCCCCTTCATTATTTGTTCAAATAAGTTTTCAATTTGTTGCTCTTCCTCTTCTCCTTCTGGCACCCCCATGATTCAGATGTTGGATCGTTTAAAGTTGTCGCAGAGGTTCCTGAGCCTTTCCTCATTTTTTGAATTCTTGTTTCTTCATTCTGTTCTGGTTAAATGTTTATTTCTTCCTTCTGCGCCCAGTCGTTGACTTGAGTCCCAGTTTCCTTCCCTTTACTGTTGGTTCCCTGTATATTTTTCTTTATTTCACTTTGCATAGTCTTTGCTTTTTTTTTTTTCTATTTTGTGACCATACTCAACCAATTCAGCGAGCATGCTGATTACCAGTGTTTTGAACTGTGCATCTGATAGGTTGGCTGTCTGTTTATCACTTAGTTCTGTTTTTGGCGCTTTGATCTGTTCTTTCATTTGGGCCATATTTCTTTGTCTCATTGGGCCTTGGAAATCATTGGGAGGGGTGGAGCCTTCAGTATTCACCAGGGCGGGGCTACCCAGGTCGCTAAGTTGTGACGTTCTCTGTGGGTGAGGGGCCCAAGAGTAAACAGTGCCGCTTGCTTGGCTCTCAATCACTTCCCTTGTTACACACAAGCACATTGGGCCCTTCTGGTACTGATTCCTGAGTGGGTGGGTTTGTGTACATTCTAGGACCCTGTGGTTCTTTCCAATGAACACTGCTGTGAGGCTGGGAGTTTCTCCTGCCACTGCAACACCCACATGTTTTTACAGCCAGAGGTTTTGAGGCTTTCTTTTTCTCACACTGGAACCCTGGATTGTGTGGTCTGTCTCGCTTCCCAGCTGTTCCTCCAGTCTATGCATGCAAATGTGGGACCAACTGGTCTGCCAGCCGCTGCCTCGCCTGCTCAGTCCAGCTGCTGCCTTGCCGCAAGTCCTCTCTGCCCCAGCTGCCTGTCTCTGCCCCTCCTACCAGTCTGTATGAATAAGTCTTTGTTGTCAGACTTCCATACAGTTTGATTTTCTGGCAGTTCTGGTTATTTTTTTGTTTTTAAATTTGTTTTTGTCCTTTTGATTGTGTGAGGAAGCAAAGTGTGTCTACCTATGCCTCCATCTTGTCCGGAAGTCCTAAATTGATAAGTGTTTTAACAAAACCTAGGATCTCTCCTTGAGAATGGTCCCTGTCCACTTGAGAATGTTTATTCTGCTATAGTTTGACAAAACGACCTATATGTATTTATTAGGTCCATTTGGTATGAAGTGTTCAAATAAAAAAACAAATTTGTTGTTGAAGGAAAATATATTTTTGCTGATTTTCTGTCTGGACTATCTACCCACACTTGAAAGATGAGTATGGAACTGTGGTATTATTCCATTGGCTTTCCTTTTCAAAAAATTTTATTTATTTTAGAGATAGGGGAAAGGAGGGAAAAAGAGAGGGAGAGAAACATGGTTGCATCTTGTATGACCCCAACTGGGGACTGAATCCTCTATCCAGGCATGTGTCCTGGCCCTGAATTGAACCCCTGACTTTTTGCTTTGAGGGACGATGCTCAATCACCTGAACCACACCAGTCAGGGCTCTCTAGCTGTTTTGTTTTTTGTTTTTTCCCAATCCTCACCAAAAAAATTATTCATTGACCCTAGAGAGAGGGGAAGGGAGGGAGAGAGAGAGAAACATTGTTTACATCCCTTTAGCACCCCCAACTGGGGATCAAATCCACATCCTATGTATGCACAGATTGTGAACTGAACCTGCAGCCGTTTGTTGTATGGGATGATATTCCCACAAAATGAGCCATTTGGTCAGGGCTGTTTTTCTATAGTCCAGTCTGTTAATATTTGTTTAATATAATTAGTTGCATCTGTGTCTGTTGTATTACATTTTAATCGTTATATCCTCTTGATGAATCATTTTTATTTATTTTAGAGTAACATCGACCTATTCATTTATTGATTGATTCCTATGTATGCTATGATCAAGGATTGAACCCACAACCTGCTGTATCAGATTTTGTTCTAAGCAACTGTGCCACCTGGCCAGGGCCTGAATCAATTTATCTACCTTTTTTAAAAAATAGAATTTATTTATTTTTAGAGAGAGGGGAAGGGAGGGAGAAAGAGTGAGAGAAACATTGATCAATTGCCTCTCATACACCCCCACCCAGGGAACTGGCCTAAAACTCAGGGATGTGCTCTGAGCAGTGACCTTTTGCTTTGCAGGACAATGCCCAACCAACTGAGCTACACCAGCAAGGGCAATTTGTTTATCTATATGTAATTATTTTCTTTGTCTTTTGTGTTAGGTTTTGGGTTAGTCTACTTTGTCTAGTATAAGTATAGCTACTTATAAGTGTAAGGTACTCTTTTGACTTTTATTTGCATGAGTTATTTTCAATTTCTATATTTTTGACCTATTTTTTAAATTGAAGTAAGTTTCTTGCGGGCAACATATATGGGGGCAGAGGGTGAACCTATAAAACCTCCCAGAATTTATTTATAAAAAATGATGTATTCTTACATGTTTAAACTTCAGTCGCATTCAAAGTGCTCTCCATTTGATGGAATACACATATGGAGATGTTTTTTCCACTGCTCGAAATAGGTTTTGAACTCATTGATTTTGATATCTTTTAGTGCAGCTGCCATTTTTTGTTTCACCTGTCTGTATTGGCAAAAATGTTTCCCTTTGAGAACTTGTTTCGTCTGGGGAAACAAAAAGAAGTCACTAGGGTGAGATCAGGTGAATATGGAGGATGGAGTATGGCGGTCACACCATTTTTTGGTCAAATACTGAACACTTGGCTCAGTGTGGACAAGTGCACTCATAAATCATCCATCATGAAATGGGCAAATGTTTGAAAGTCTTTAAAAAAAAATTCACTGAAGTCAAACACAGCCACTCACAACAACCCGAGCTGGTACACTGATACAGAGTAGTTCCTAGAACACTCACCTAGTGGGAGAAGGCTGTCCTATAAGGGTCCAGCACTCCAGAAGATAATTTCAGCTTTTTTGGGTCCCCCCTCCTAGTTTGCATTTAATTTTTATTTTTTAAAGGTTTTATTTATTTTTAGAGAGAGGGAATGGAGAGAGAGAGAGGGAGAGATACAGCAATGTGTGAGAGATACATTGACTGGTTGCCTCTTGCATGCCCTCAACCAGGGGGACCTGGTCTGCAACCCAGGCATGTGCCCTGACTGGGAATTGAACCAGTGACCTTTTGGTTGACAGGTGGGTGTTTAACCCACTGAGCCACATCAGCCAGGGCTA